GGTGTCGGAGGGAGCGGACGTATTGGACGAAGCGGTCCGTGGGACCGGTCTGGCGGAGGTGGCAGAATTGTTCAAGGTAGTTGTCAATGGTTTTCTGGGGGCGGAAGGTGGAAGTAAGGAGGGTGGCCCATTGGAGGAAGGTGGGGCGTGGTCCGCCGGAGGCTCGGCGGTTGCTAGCTTCAGCCATCCACCATTTGGCTGTATTGCCGAGGAGGCAAGGGGCATGTGGTGGAGCTGAAAAGAGTTTTGAAGCTGGGTTAGGAAGAGGAAAACGTCCTCGTGGGGGAGGCCGGAGAAGGACATGATTTCGCCAGATCGGAAGGAACGGGGGATTTCCCCGTCGCTGTGAACGATCTGCGCGAGGGTGTTGAAGCTGAGGTTATCGGGGGTGGTGTCGTAGTAGGTGTGGTCGATTTGGTTGTTGTCCTCAAGGAGGTAGTTGGGTGGAAGTTGTGGCATTGGGGGGAAGGCCCCGGAGGTGACTTGGGAATAGGTGGGACGGATGGTGGGGATGGTGGAGGTGGTCATGATGGGTTGGGAGAGGGTTTGGGAGTGCGGGGGGTGAAGAGGGGTGACTTTGATGGGCGGGGAACGAGGCGGTGTGCTGGATGCGCCGGATGAGGGAGGAGGTGGAGGGAACGGAACGATGGTGGGGATTGAAGGGTTGGTGGATACGGTGGTAGAGGTGGTAGGAGTGGAGGAGGTCGGCGGGGGGGTGTTGCTAGAGGCGGCTGTGGAGGTTGGAGTGGTTTGCACTGTGGAGGTTGGAGTAGTTTGCGTGGTGGTGACGACCGTGATGGGGGGGGTGGTCCCTTCGAGCGTGGTGACGCGGTCGCATAAGGATGACACGTTGGCCTTTATGTCGTCGAGAGAGGCGGTGACGGAGTTAAGTGCGTGGAGGATGGAAGAGAGGTCGGGGGTGGCGGTGTTTGCTGGTGGTTGTTCGCCGGCGAGGTTGCGGGCGATGCTATCCACTGAGTCGGCGCGGAAAGAGCCCATGTTGATTCTGGAAGCACCGTCGGCCATTGGGGTGGACGARTGTGAGGCGGCGGGGGAAGACGGGGGGGAGGAAGTAACAGCAGCAGGGGAGGCGGTAGCAGCAACGGCGGCAATGGCAGCAGTGGCGGCCGCGGCAGCGGCGTTGGCGGCGGCGCGTTGGGAGTTTCTGGTGCTGCGGGTCATGCGGAGAGTGGGGGGGGGTAGAAAGGGAGCTTAGGGGTTCGGTAGCATACAAAGACAGATTTGTCAGATTTTTTTGAAATTTTGGGTGTAAAATTTTTCGAATTAAAAATTTAGTAACAACAAATTTAGAAGTGTTGGAAGAGAAGGAAGAATTAATCAAAAATAAGTACGTAGACAAATGTTGATTTATTTGTTTACAAAAAAATATTTTAAATTCAAATTTTGAAAAATAATTAATTTCCGTTAATTAATTAATTTCGGAATTTAAATTTAAAAGAATTGGGGGTATATAGAAAAATATGTCAAAAGTGAAATTCCCTATTTGGATTTTTGAAAAAGGAGAATTACA